TAGAATGTCAGAATCATCTCTTCTCCCAGGATGAAGTGTCCCTGGAGGCCCCTCAAACCGACAGGTTATAGTAAAGGGAAGGCTTTTCAGCACCCAGGATTTTACCAGCCTGGAAGTCTCCAGACTTGGGCCCAGGCCCCCGCTGAGCTCAGGAACTGTGCTTGACAGAGATAAAGGGTGACGGAGCAGGAGTTATCAGCCAGGTCCAAGGGCGCAGAGCTTATGGCCTCATCAGCAGACTCTGCCCTTCTTCGTGCCGGCGGCTGATAACCTCCGCGCCCTCGCCCCCCAGATTCTGGACAGGATCCCAGACCAGGCACTTCAAGGGCCTTCTCTCGGGTTGTGCCAAGAATATCAGAAGCGCTAGATAACATCTTCCCCGGCTCTCTCTAAGTTGGGAAACGGCCGTAGTCGCAACACAGCTTCACAGAACTCGTCAGCCTCCTGAAACTCACTGCCCTTAAGGCCTCACGGCCATCGGCCCAGTGCCTTCAGAGCTGCTTTAGACTTTGGGGCCAAGGCTTTTGGGCAAGAGTGATACCAAAGTGGTGCATCTGATGAGGATGACAGGAATCAGAGATCAGAAATACAGATTGGAGGTAGAGACCCACAGAGAGACTTTGGCCATTTACAACCTCAATTATTCAGTCAACAGGCACCTCCCAGGGGCCAGGAATTGGACAGACTCTAAAAGCACAATGTGAAAAAGAAACGATAGCAGGGTCAAATGATAGTTTAGGTGGGGGCAGCCAGAGCACACGTGAAGAGAGGAGCTCAGGTGTGAACTAAGCAAGCCCTGAGGCTGGAGGTGCAGAGGGCAGAGGTGTGCATTGGACAGAGAACAGGACGAGCATTAGGACAAGTTCTTTTTAATTGCAAAGTCATGCTTCAGTCAAACTATAGGTAAGTGGGCAAAACATAAACAGCCCTCCCCTGGGCTCACGTCCCACACTGTAAAGAGGCTGCCTGGAGAGGCTGCAGATTTCAGGGAGCGATGTTGAGGGCCCTGGCATGGGAAGAGCTCCCCTGCTGGCGTAAACTCGGCGCACGCTTCTGCCATCACAAACACGGGAAGAGCTAACTCTGCGGGGAGATGAGTTTCCTTACATTGGGTTTGATTTTTCTTTTTAACAACAGCTTTGTTGAAACATAGTCCCCGTGCATGGCGCTGCCCGTTTAGATGCCCTGCGTTAGCACATGCCCCTTTCTCCTGACCGGGGCCGTAGCGCTCCCCAAGCCCCTGATGGATCCACAATGGGGAGACGCTCGCTCCACTGTGTGTTGTCTTTTCACTGACTTAATGGTGTCCTCTTGCTTATTCCTTCTTCAAAGGGAATGTGGTGGGTGGGGGGTGGCGACGCAGGGCGGCCTCACGGAGCTCGCAAGAGCAGGCACCATCCTGTCCCTCTTCGCCTGGACTGTGAGTTTGTCGTGGGTATGCTGATGGCACGAGCAGACCTGGTCTCTGCAGGGTCACTGTGCCCTCCCGAGCGCCAGCTCCCCGACCCCTATAGGGAGCAGGCACAGGTGCGTGCAGATAAGGCCGGTGAGCCAGAGGGAGGCCGCAGGGTCCTCAGGGTGACTCCTGCTCTCGGGCAGATGCAGCCCTTCCCTGCAGACGCCGCGGCTGCGGCCCACTCTGCTCCAGTTCCTGCACGCAGCGCTCACCTCCGTGAGGAGGTGAAAGCGGGGGGAAAGCGGGGGGACATGCAGGCACGCCTGCGGGGGCAGGGCTGAGAGCTCCAGAACTCTGAGGTGATTTCTGGGTTTTTTAATCTGGAGATGGGCCTAAAGAAACGTGGCCTGTCTACCTGCTCAGGAGGGACGTGTTCCAGAAGGCGGAGATCGGGGCCGAGGAGGGAGCGGGACCCACGTGACCCCGACGGGACGCGCGCAGGAGGGGCGACCGTGGCAGCGGGAGAGCAGCGGAGGTTTTGCCCAAGTGCAGTGAAAACTAACTGAAGCCCCGGAGCAGGGGCGGCCCTGACCCTGGCCACGTCAGCGACCCCTCGCCCTCCGCGTGGAGCACACTTGGAGAGGGTGACCAAGTGGGAAAGCCGGTACGAGGCTTTCAAGAAGTTCAGCGAGAGGTGGTGGTAGTGGTGGTGTAGGCGGGGGGTGTGCGGTAGAGCCCAGGGGGTGCTGAGGAGGACATTTTTTATTGAAATAACATTGGCTCACAGCACTGTGCGCGGCGCAAAATAGAGGGTCCCACCTCTCCAGGCGTGCGCCACCACCCCACCGCCAGGACGCCCATGTGCAAAGTCAGCTTTCCAGGCGTGCGCCACCACCCCACCGCCAGGACGCCCATGTGCAAAGTCAGCTCCTCGGCTCGAGACCTGGGCTTGGAGTCACGTGTGCTGCGGAGCCTCACGCGTGCTCGTGGTGCTTTTCCCTGGGAGCCTCCGAACACGCCCCAGCAGAAGCCGAGGGCCTGGGGGTCGGTTCCCCTGCACCGGCTGTGTCCCTGGCTCCCTGGGGAGTCTGCCCTGCACGAGATGTCGCCCAGCACCTCCTGGTGGAAGGTAGGAGGGGAGCAGCAGGGAGCCGCCCTCAGCATCCAGGCCGGCAGCTTCGCCCAAGAGCAACGAGAGCTCAGCTCCCAGGGCTCCTGTCGCCCCTCACAGGGTGGGGCGCTCGGGCAGGAAGGACGCTGAGTGGCCAACACCTGTAGTTTCTCTAACAGGAAGCAGCGGAGAAAAGGACAGCAAGTATCGTTCCTTCCCTGCATCTCCTGAGCAATATAGAAATGTTAAAAACGCAATAGGAACCATTTCTTTCTCCTCCGTGCCGCCTGCTCCCCGCCAGTAGGAAGACCACAGCAACTCCATCCTGAATTAGCCACAGCAACGCCATCTTGCATCAACTCCAGTGACTCCATCTTTTTAAAAAAAAAAAAAGATTTATTTATTCATGTACACAAGAACCAGGGTACAGGCCAGATTGTGGGAAGATGAGACGATTCACCAGAGACAGAGTTGGGAGCAGAACAGGCAGATTGACTGAAATACACTGCTGAGGGGAGCAGCGGGCGAGGCAGGAGGGGTCTGCTGCGCCATGTGGGTAGCTCCCTGGCTGGCCAGGATTGAACTCGCGCTGCAGAGGCTGCAGACAGCTTCACAGCGCTGCGCTTAACCACCTGCGCCACCAGGGAGGCCCGACTCCATCTTGTTTTAACCACAGCAACTCCATCTTGTACAGGCATCATCTTCGGCCACGACCTGAGACTGCCGTTCCCTGGGAGGATTGCCAATTCCCCCACTGTTTCTTGCGCGTGTATTAAACTAGATTCATGATCCCTGCACAACTCCATTCATTTCAGTAGGTCAAAGACACACGTCACATGTCCTCCTGGACATCTGGCTTCACTAGTCTCACATAAGAAAGGTCATACTAATAAGCAGGGTAAAAGACCCCTGTCATGGAGGAGATGTGGATTCTGCCCCGACCCACAGTCCTGCCCCCGGGCTCGGGCCCCTGCATAAAAGCCACTTTTAATAAACTCTAAGTATGATTAACGGACGTGCCTCCTCAGTTCTCTGGACCCAAATTACCTTCTCAATTTGGGGGGACTTACTGCTGCAGGGGCAGGGAGAAAGCCCTATGAGCAAGCACTCCTTTCTTGCCTTAATCCTGTCACTTAAACCCCTTATTTCCTAGTCAGCCTCCCTAAGGATGCTGCAACACACACCTTGAGCAGTTAACCAACGATCTCCCATCAGCAGGGGAAAATGAGGACCTTTCCATGGGACTCCTTGAGGCAAGGGCATCACAAAACAGAATGAAGGTCTCAAAAGCCATATTTGGTTAGCTACTGCGCTATCAAAGGCCGCAAAGGCCGATGTCTCAGGGCCACGGACTCGTGTGTCGGCGGCTGCACCAATCAGAGCACTTGGCGCTGACTGGGGAGGCACAATGTTGCTCCAGACATCTGTTTATTCAACTCTGAACACAGGGTGGTGGCGCACGCCTGGAAAGGTGGGACCCTCTATTTTGCGCCGCGCACAGTGCTGTGAGCCAATGTTATTTCAATAAAAAATGTCCTCCTCAGCACTTCCTGGGCTCTACCGCACACCCCCCGTCCACACCACCACTACCACCACCTCTTGCTGAACTTCTTGAAAACCACGATGCAGCCCCCTTCCCTACGTCCCACATTCACGCACACTCGAAATTTCAGTGACCAAAAAGGCAAGGGTGATACACGTCATTGATCACTAGTCAACACCCCGCAATAATCTAAAATTTCACTTCCAATGTGTTTGAGTTATTTTCAAAGAACTCTATTGCCCATGAGTGGGCTACCTCAAGAGCACCATCGTAGCTAACCACAGAGAGCTAGAGCCAAAAGAATTCATCCCTCAGACTTCCACATTCATCAGAAAAAAGCAGGAGCCACAGAGTAATAACAAAGCAGCAGCAGCAGCCCCCATGTGGATGAGGAGAAGCCACGACCCCCCATAGCTCGTCACCAGCGGTAAATTTCTTCAAAAATTAGGTCCCAGATGTCCCCCAGTCCCTCCAAATTTGTGTTTTCACATGGCAGTGACTCGACATTTACTATCACGAGCATGTCACCAGCCACCGCCTGTGACTGAGGAATGGCAGGGCTCTAGAAGCCGTGTGACCAAGAGGGCCTGGGTGCCAGGCTGCAGCTGAGAGAGGGGACCGCGGGCTGTCCCCTGCCGGGCTTGTTTTGATGTCGATGTTGGTGTTTTTTAATCAAAGAGACAGTTTCTCTTACAGCTCCTAGTGGCGCTTTCCTCTTTCTTATCTATGTCAAGTAGAGCAATTATTTGAAATCTTTAAGATATAATTTCTGGGCTTTTCTTCACTCCCTTGAAAAAGGAAGCCCTTTGGAAACACGCACTATTGGGTCATCGGGCTAGATCTGAAGAAGCACCAGGAGGGTCCAGAGAGTCACTCCCCAAGGCGCCGCCAGCACAGCCCCAGGGTGGGCCCAAGTGTCTGCTGCTCGCCAGGCTCTGAGCGTCAACACCAGCGACAAACTGACAGGCACACGTGGTGGTGGATTTTAAAAGACAGGTATATTTTTAAAAGATCATTCTACAACAGGTAAATTATGTAGTGCTAGAACATCAAAATAAACTGATGAATACAAAGGGACACTGAGACGTGGAGGAGTAGAAAGAGCAGACGGTTGTCTGGGGCTTGTTGTTTCTAACGGAGCTGGAGGGGGGCGTGCGTCACAATTACGTTTCAGGAAAAGCACACGAACATTCTCCCTCCGGCGTCCGAGCTCTGTCCAGGCAGCCCCTGCCGCGGGCTAGTCCTCCGCCATGTAGTAGCGGTACATCAGGGCCACGGTCAGCGCGGAGACGGCGGGGATCACCCAGTTGGACCACCAGCTGCAAAGACAGTGAGGGACGGCGCTTCAGTGTCGCCGCGGGACGCCAGCCTCGCCCCGGCAACGGCCTCGGTGTGGTGAGGGAGACACAGGCCAGGCACGGCCCATGCGACCCCCCAGCCTGTGCCGCTGACGTCCACTCCCATCCACTTTCACAAGGGGCTGCTGCTCCCCGAGAGACACTGCCCGGACTTGGGGCGCAGCCCAGGGCCACAAACCCGGGGTGACTACCACAGGTTCTCACAAGTGAATGTTGTCACGGGCTTCATTCTAGTCACACTGGTGGGTTAAGACTTCACACTGGCACGAAGCGGGGAGCAGGAGGCTGGCCGGGGCTCTCGCTTTGGAGACGTGGGCAAGCTCCTGCCCAGGCCCACAGCCTCTGGAATCCCCCAGACCATGGGCTCCCCCGGAGCCACGACCTGCGGTTCAGCTCCGAAAATGGAGACCCTGCCACCTGCATGCGGACCGAGAGTGCTCAGGAACAGCAGGCCCAGCTCCCGGGACACAGCACAGGTGCCGGTTCACGAGAACGCCTACCCTCACCGTGCTTCAGTCGTCACGCACAGGATTCCTGATCTAATATAAATCAGAGACTTAGATCAAGTCAGAGACAGAGTTGGGAAACCTTCCATTTAGATGTGAACCAGTGATTTCTTAGAAAATGGAAATGGATAGGCTTTCAAAGGTGAGAGCTAAGTTGCTCCTAATATACACACACCTCCTGTCATAAAGTTTTTATCCTTTACTACTCTGTGTATATCGACCCATTCAAAGATCAAGTGCAACATAAAGACTTAAGTTAAAAAGGATTACAAGTGTCACGTTCGTCTCGGTGGGGTTTCTGGTTTCTGTTTAGAGGGAGACTGAGCAGCCTCCGTGAAGGAAGGGGGAGCACAGCAGGCGGGGGCCCCTGACAGGTGCAGTGTACTTGAACGTGTGGTTCTGAGCCTGGGTCCAAAAATTACGATGGCATTTCAACAAGCGCCGATGCAGCCAGCCCCAAATGTCCACATGACCTCAGAATAAGACCCAGAAATCTAGTCCCTAGAGTTGGGGGTTTGGGCTGCACCTGGGCGACTGGACTCGACTTGAGGGCCAACTGCGGCAAAAGGAGCCAGCCCAGGGGACACGACCCCTACATTTAAGAAATCGAAGTATGGAAGGAGAAAGGAGCTGGAACTTGGACTGGACGGAGCACAGGCCGCCGCAGGACTGCCCCGGGACGAGAGACTCTGTCCTACTCCTGCCAGAGGGGGGATGCAGCTGGAGGGTGAGACTTGGGGTCACGCTGAAGAGCCTCTACAGTCTAAGCGGACAGTATTCTGGGCCTCCAGTGGAGGTGACCTCTGGGGTGTCCCCTGAGGGGGGCCAGGTATCAGAGAGGCGCCATAGGTAAGTCCAGGTGCCTCCATCCACCAACCACTTAAAAAGAAGTGAAGACCTACCTGGTGGTAGACTCGACAGTAGTAATGAGACTTTCCTGAAACACAAGCAGAAAAGCAGAGAAGTTAAAGGGAACTGCTGAACGCTGATTCACTCGACTAAACGCCTGTCTTAAAATAAGTCACAACAGCTCTTAAATGCATACTTCACAAAAACATTCAAAGGGAAAAATACATCATAAACATCTTTTCATTAAAACCAAATTTCACCATTTTTTTCAGAAGAAAAAATTTTGAGGAGTGTCTAGATTTAAACTACTTATGACATAATCTAGTCTCCCACAAGCTAGAGAGTCTCCCACACGCAGGAGACACTGATGTATTTTAATGCAGAAACTGAAAACATGTCTCCACACAGACACAGCCTGGCCCATCGTTACCTGCAGGGAGAGCAGTTTAAGTCTTCAAATGCACAAATGAAACCTTCAATGAACATCAGCTTTTCATTCAAATCTTACATGAAGCAAAAGTACCCAAATCTTAGGATACGGCAACGAGAAAGAACAAAATAAGGACTGTCATTTATGGTGAGAGCTCTCCGGACCCTTTACTCGCCTTCTTTGACAAGACACTTCTAGAAGAGCCTGGCCTGGCCTCAGGGACCGACTCGCACTGTCACCCCCTGAGAATCACGGATTCCCCGTGAGCCGGGATCTTCCCCAACCGTAGCCCATGTTACCTTCCAGCACTTTCTGGGAGAAGTGCTTCTTATCAACACCATGAGACTGAACTAAGGACGGCTCTGGGGAAATGCCGGCTTCCCCAAACAGCTGGGTAACTAAAGCCTAATGAGTTAGGAACTTTTCGGGCTTACAAACATGTCAAAAAGCATTAAAAAAAAATCCACACCAGCAAGTGTTAGTGCCTTAAAGGAAGGGGCCACAGTACGCAAGTCACCAGCTAGCTGCGTCTGCCCCCTGCAGCCCCCGAAGCTCAAGATGAAAAAGCACTAGCAAGACACAGCGTTTGCAGGGATAGAGCTGCACTCGGCCAGGGCAGGACAGAAACTCTGGGAAAGGCAGAGACAACTCAGGAAGAGCAAGCAATGCAGCCAGGACACCTACCAACCTTGACATGTGGCCTTTAAGATTCCTGACGTGGTAGGGGAAAAAAATAAGTCATTTAAAAAGAAAACTACACATTTATTATCTTTCTAAGTAATTTGTGTAAGTTTTTAAGTGAAAAAACAGAACATTTATGATATTTTAAAACTTAGAAATTACAAAAGCTTTCATGGCCACTGCCAGATGATTTTTCTACTTTTGTATACATGAAGAAAATGAACAAGGGTTACATGAAATGTTGAAATACACAAAACTCTTATTTGGCATTTAGGAGAAAGTTCTGAAGCTGAAATAGAACATTCACTGAAATTAAAACATGACTGTCCCACTAGGAAGTTAGGCCTGAAACTGTAAAGAGGAGGCAAACAGCCCCAGACTGGTTACCCGCACACATGCATGCACTCCCCCCAGGCTGAGCGCTCGAGGAAGCGCGGCTGGCCAGGCCCCCCTCCTCCTCTGCAGCAGCGGGGCCTTGGCAGCTGCACAGCAGTTATCTTCCAAGATACTGAGCTTCACAGAAGCACAACATCCCTGAGAGCCTGTGACCTCCAGGCCTCCAGGGTGCTCAAGACCAAAGCAAGGTCAACCACCACTCGGCACTTGGATGGGAAGGAGGCGCTGTGGGGTCCACGCTGGTGTCTGTCAGCATCTGTAACGAGCAGATGCGGGGAAGGAGCACGGAGAGAGAGTCTGCCACCTGCTCACTCAGTGAGCATGAGGGATTCAGTTTCTAGTGGGAAGAGTCAGCCATTCGACTCTATAAACACAGGCAACAGGCATCAAGTCTTTGCAAACTCGACCCATCTCACGGGTAAGCCAGCCTGACTTGGTGCATCTGTGCTCTGCGCCGCCTACGCCGGTGTGCCCTGTGTGGAGTCCGGAGCCCCTGTGGGCTTCAGAGACAGCAGGGCCAAGGCTGACATGAGAGCTAGCTGTGGTCCTGCAAAGTGTAACCTTGAGCAAGATCAAAGTTTGGGATGGGATCTGAGCTTATCTTCCTCTTTGCTGGAAAGTCTCCATTCCCGCGGGATCACGTGAGACCAAGACAAAACCTTTGTCCAGTGATGTTTTGAAAACAATCCCACAGAAGGTATGGACATCACCAATGTCCTCCTCGTAAGCCAGCTCAAGGCTTGACTCTAAAAGCATCGTTTATGTGCCTTAATTTGCAATTTAACATCACTCTTTCCTTTGGGCAGATTCAGGTATCTTATTTCACAGTTTATCAGGGTATTTATCCGGCAACATTTCAAGAATTCAGACCACAGTGTACATCTATCATCCTGGAGAAGGACAGAGTTTCACAAGCAGAGCACTATCTAAGGCTACTCTTTTCTTCCAGAAAATATGGCAGCACAAGAGAGATAAATCTGGAAAAGTGATGATATCTTTTCTTTCACAATATTTGCTTACTGCCTCCAAGAAAAACAGTAAGTTCCTGTTCCGTATTCCTAGAGGTCCTCTCTCAGGGAAGCAGAGTCCTAACGTTCTAATGGCAAATAAGGTAGAAGTCTTTGACAAATCAAGCCGCTGTGGCAGGAGACAGGCTCACCCCATTGGGCATCATGGATTGGGGCACGGGTTTGGCCCACAGATCCAGGGTCACCTAGTCAGCTTTTCAAGTTCCTGTCCAGAGAGAGCAGAACAACTTGCACTCAGATTATTAACATACTGAACACCCCACAGGAAAAAAAAATATATATTTTCCCAACAGACTTTGGAGAAAAAGCAAAAATTTTATACCCCACAGAATTTCGGGGTCCAAACAAATGGCTCCAAAAAAGGCGCTAAAGTCACAGGAGCTACAGCACTCGTTTTTGTCTCCTGGAGTCCTCACATCTTAGCGATGACCTCACGCCTTTTCGAAGGGGACAGGAGAGCATGTAATGGCCATTGCTTTGTATGCAACAGCATCACACACGACTTTAATTGCGCTCTCTGGGGTGAAGAGGAAAAAGGGCGGTTGACTGCTCTGGTTTCATTGTGGAGACAGTCTCGTGAGCCACAGCTGGGGAAACGTACCCACCAGGTGGGAACGTGGGCTCTGTGGACCATGCCGTCTCGCCCTCCAACCCAATCCACAGCACAAGACACAACAGATTATGTGTTTGTGTTGAGCAAAACTTGCCCTCACAGGCCTTGAACTAGGTGCCAGCAACTATCTCGCCTGCTTGGACTTGAAGGGACTGTTGCTGCCATCAACGCTTATCTGGATTTATCTTCAAATATCAGTGAAATATCAGCTAGCAGAGGGGGGCTCTGAACCAGATGGTAAAACTAGTGTTACTTCAAGTATTTCCCTCTCCTAAGGGAATAATCCATCAGTTAATTTTTAACTTAACATTAAATTCATCCAAATGTGTTTATTTTCTGAACACCAACTATCTCCAGAGACGTGGAGATGAAGAAGACACATCTCATGTCCTCAATCAGATTTTAAGTTCTCTGAAAATAAAGCTGTGTCAAATCTTTCAGCCAGGGAAGCACAGTGAGCCCCTAAAAAAGCAGCTCTCTAAAAGGGCTCCGCTGAGAACTGTGATAAAAATCACAGTAGGGTCTGTGAGTCTTACAAGGTAACACACAAGCTTATCCCAAGGAAACGCAACAGCTGCACAGGTGAAAACATCCTGCTGAGTCAACAGGTTACAGGTTCACCCAGCCCGGAATGGCCTCAGCCAAGAGAAGGGAGAGCTTTGCCTTCCAGCCCGGCCAGAAAAAACACAGGGAAAGGCACGCGCGTCACCGAGGTGCAGGGCCGGCCACTTACCGAAGGCTTGGCTATCTTTGACCAGTCATCCTGCAACGAGAAAGAAGACACATCATGGAATGAGAAGACAGTCACAGAGAGGGCCGCTGCCAAAGCGCTTGCTTTCCTGGGAGTCTCTCTCGTCTCTACTGTTCAGAAATCAGCATTTGAAGCTGATCCAGCTGGTGTTAAACACCAAGCTTGCTCCATCTGACTCGACTGCAAAAATTAGCAGCCATCGAGTGTCGAGATTCCCAGTCTAGAGTTCCGGTGTTAGAGCAGCATCCAGGAACGAGGCGTGTACGTGGCGAAGCAGAGGAGCACTCACTGGACTCGGATAGTGACTTGAGTCCAGGGAGCAGCTGAGACCTACTTAGATCGGGCTCTTCTGTCCTGTCAAATCCCTTTGAGGGTGTGCCCGTCTGCACACGTGTGTGTGAATGTATAGGTATATGTATATGTATGTGTGTGTGTGCATGTGCACGTGCGTGCATGCATGCATGTGTGTGTGTGTGTGTGTCTAAGGGTAACTTATTTGTGTGAGACCCTCAGAGAATTTTTGCTATCTCTCAATCTACTGACCTTCTGGCAAGGCAGCCCAAGACCAACCACAGGGGAGGCAGAAATGTCACTCTCAAGGGCAGGCCTCTCTGATACCATAAAATGACTTCACTTTGTGAAATATGAAACCATGGGGGCAAATAAACTTTCCAGATGAATGAAGCCCCTCTCCAAGTACCACCTCCTACACCAAACAACATGAAACACCTCCCCACTCATAAAACTAAGGTGGATTTCCTCTCTCAGGCCTTCCTAGAGCCTGGCTTAACCTCTCCATTCCCGGTCATTCCAAGAAGCATCCGTCATAAGCAAGAAAGTCTCTGTGTGGTTTTTATTTTCCAGTGGTTTCTAAGCGTGCCCACGAGGCATAAGCCTATTTACCTGTGTTTTCTCATGTTAGAGCCCACCCCGGCGGCACTAACCTCCCCTGGTTGGCTACCGAGGTTCTGGGATGGCAGACAGGAGGCCCTGCGCTGAGGAGAGGACCACATGCCCCCTGGGGGCAGAGGACAGCGAGTGCCCACTCCCCACCCCCAATCCTGCCCGGAGAATTGCTGCTCCGTGGAAACTCAGCATGAGACACACTGCACCCAGCCATGGCCTTGGCTTAGACATTTGACACTAAGGATCAGTGAAAAACACAAGCAGGGGGTTGCAAAGAAAGTTCGGTCAATTTGCTTATGTCAAAATGGTGCTTTAAAATCCGGAGGAATTGTTTTCGCTCTACTCCTTTTTAACTTTAATAATAGACTCGTCTACACGTTTGAGCAAGATCAACCAATAACCTCAGAGAAACAAGTGAAAGCACCCAAAAAAGCACTTACTGGGTGAAGCTCCCCGATGATGAATGTCTTGGACATCTCTCTGGCGTCTGTAGAGTGCCCGACATCCTCAAAGTTTTCAGTGGCATCTCCTCCGGCTTGTTCCCTTAAGACTTCCTCCCCGCCAGGATGCTGTTCCAGAGACAGACAAACAGACAGGAAAATTGGGGCACGGCTTCTGGGCTTGCCCACCAAGCTCTCAAAATTGGTCTTTTAAGGGGCCTCCCTGGTGGCACAAGGGGCTGGACACAGGACTATGAAGATATCCACAGCCTCTGCAGCACAAATTTGATCCCCGGCCGGCCAAGGAGCTACCCACAGGGCACAGCAGACCTCTCCTGTCTCGCCCGCTGCTCCCCTCAGCAGTGTATTTCATCAGTCTGCCTGTTCTGTTCCCCACTCTGTCTCTGGTGAGTCCTCTCACCCCCCACACCTCTGGCCTGTACCCCAGTTCTTTTATAAATAAATCTTTTAAAACAAAAGTTCTTTTAAATCTTTGCCCAATGGATTTCTTCTTGAGAAGCAACATCGTCCTGCCACTCAAGTCCTTCGCAGTGACTTCTTGTGCTAACTTAGGTCACCGAGCCTGCAAGCATGCACAGCTCAAGGCCTGCTGATAGAGAGCCCCCTGCCTCTTGCAGAGCTCCGTCCTCGTGGAGGGAGGAGAGAGCAAGCCACAGACGAGATCTCTGACAGGAACAAAGGATGCTGAGGGTGGGGGTGGGCTGTGTGTGGCAAGAGCTTTAGGCAAAGAACTTTCCTGCTAGCAGCTGCTTCAACTGGTAAAACAAAAGGACAGGGTGGTCACCATGAAGGGTGCAGGAGGGCTGGCAAAAGGGGCCGGTCAGTAGATGGACGAGAAGAAGTCAGGGCGCGCCTAGGCAAGGGAAGGGATGCTCGGTCCGTCATCCCAAATGCGCGTGCAGGGGCTCCTCCGCCTGCCCTTTGGTGTTAGCGTGGGTGACTTTCACCTGCTCTTGAGCAAATCACTTACATATCGCCCAGCACCTGAACAAGGCAACCCTCCCTTGCACCGCGAGCTGTGGTCTGCCTTAACGTCTCTTGATAACGGAGGACGTCAGGGCACACAGCATCTTGGGAAGGTGGACGGTCATTCCGTTCTGAGACCTTCCTCCTCGTGCATCTCTAGTGCCAAACACGTCTGCTTCCTTTTTTCTCTCATCCCTCCACATTATAGAAAAATTGGAGAACACACAAAAAAATCAAAATCACCTAAATCACCCATAATTGTCCCTTTAGAGGGAGCTGGATACACATTTGCATGCGAGTAACCTCAAAAGGAAAATGATAACCGTTGCCTGTGCCGCCTGTTCCGTTAGATAAAAGCAGGTATAACTCACGGTGCAGGGGCGGCTGGGCCCAGGGTTATTACTACCACGTAAACCTGGAGAAGAAGGTGACCCGACAGGGCAGGGGTTAAGGTGCCAGTACATGCACTTGGCAGCGCGTAGAGCCAACGAGCATTACTCAGCATCTCACTAGATCTTTTCCAACGTCACTCGGTATCTTTCCTCACCGTGGCCTTGCAGCACGACCCAGAGCTACACCAGGTGGGCATTTGCAGCCTTATTTCAGTATCTTTTCTTGCACTTCAGCAAAGTGCAGCCAAGTCCACTAGAAGCGCGGGCAACTGATCGCCCCCTCTGGAAGCAGGCCCCAACCCCCGGCACGTCTCCAGCCGGCGGCAACGAAAGGCTCCTTTTGTTGATTCTGGAACAGTCTGTTTACTTGTGGGCCTGGAATGAGGAGGACGGAGAACCATGGGAGGCCTCGAATGATGCCTCATCCCGCCCCGCACACCGTGTCCGCTCAGACTTGGGCCCCCAGCCACGTGGGTCCTGCTGAGACACGTGGGCATGGACGTCTCCTGCAGTCCCTGCTGTCCAGCGACCACCTATCACTATCTCGCGGCAAAGTGAGGTGAAAATGAGATGAAAATGAGGTGAAAAAATACATAGACTGGCCTTTATAAAGTCAGACATTTAGACAAGCTCTAAATAGAGAATTCTGGTTTTTAAAGCACTAGCATGGAGAAAGTAAACGTTTCACTTCATAGCGATAACACGGGCGTCTTCACCTAACCAAGCGCGGGCACAAGTCAGCGTGTGTCCTGTGTTACCCCAACTCACCCGGTCACCCCGATTCACCCCATGAGGCAGAGCTCGAACCAGAACTCTAAGGAAAAGAGGAGGGAGCGAAACATCGAGGGTTTCGCTGATACTCATCTCGCCGGTCACTATTTTATTTATTCTTTTTAAAGATTCATTTTCATTTATGCAGACAAGAAGTGGGGTGCAGGCTAGAGGTACAGGGGTGAGAGGATTCACCAGAGACAGAGTGGGGAGCAGAACAGGCGGCTCCACTGAAAGACACAGAGGGGGGAGCAGCGGGGAGACAGAAGAGGTCTGCTGCGCCAAGTGGGTAGCTCCCTGGCTGGGGCTTGAACTTGTGCTACAGAGGCTGCCAATAGCTTGATAGCGCTGAGACTTACCCCTTGCACACCAGGGAGACCCCAATCACTATTTTAAAGACATAATACAGAATACACTGATGCTAAAATATTTCGCCTTAGCCTAAGATTTTAAGAACTAGTAAAAGAAAAACCCCACAAATTCTAAAAAAGTGTTTTTTGGCACAAAATAGGTCATCTTGATAGACTAAAAGACACGGGACTGGCTTGCTGTGACGCTGACTCTTTTCCATGAAACACAGGAGGATGTTGGGAGGGAGGGCGGCAGCTCCCCGTTGAGCCAGACCTGGGTCACGATGGCCTGAGACAGCGGTCTGGCCTGCACCCCTGGTCTCCCAGTAAGTTCCACTGCAGGCATGACAGCCCCGCCCACTCAGGCCCAGGGAAAGCTCCTCCTCGCGGTCAGCTCCGCCAAGACAGAAGCAGGAGCCGGGCTGGCACCACCTCAGGAATGCCCTGCCATGGTGGGGAGGGGACAATGATGTGGCCCCAGAAATGTCCAGGAAGCCAACTGCAACCTTTGGGGCGGGTTATAGAATGTGGGGTGCCCAAAGAAAGGGGAAGGCTTTAAAAAGAGAAATGATATGAGAATGGTCTGATGAGTTTCTGAAAGATTTGCAGAAAAGACCAAAGGCCTCGTCACCCAGGCAAAGTGAGAGGGGACGAAAGAGCTGAAATTCTGAAGAACTGGAGTCAAACTTTGCTGGTCCGCATCTGAAACCTGTCCTTAGGCCCTCGCTGGCCCCTCGCAACCCCGCTGTGGCGTGGTCAGCCTGGCAGAGGCCCAAGACAGAGCAGGGGAGGGAATTTGGGGTAACAGCAAGGGGCGCTCAGGACAACAGAGCTGGGGACACACGGGGGATACAGCCATTTCCCCTGGCACCGTCCTACTAATACAAAGCCCCTGTTTGCCCAGATTTCACTTTCCTGTGCATATCCTGCACTGAGCTGGCCCCAGGAGCAAGCAAGAAGGAGCAACAATTCCCGGTTCCAATTATCCCATCTCGCACCGCTCACCCTTCCCTGACTGTCATTGCTCCAACCACCCAGCGACCACAGCTCCCTATTAACTGCTAAGTCACTTAATCAGGGTATTCACTGAGCATCAGCTATGTGCCAGGTGAGCCTACTATGTACTAGGTGAGTCCTATTATGTGTCAGGCAAGCCCTACTATGTGCTAGGCAAGTCCTGCAATGTATCGGACACACAAAAGTACATGAACAAGCAAAAGTGATTTGACCTCAACAAACATGCAGTCAGCTTGAGCCCAGAGAGGGAACACGCTTGGCCTTCACAGATGTGGCTCAGGGCACTGGGGAGCCGTGGACCCACCACACAGGAGGGACGTGTGGCATCTGCAATGCAGCTGAGCATGCACCACCGGGCCAGGGAGCACGGACAGCACAGACCCTGATCCAGAGGCAGGGACCACCTAGTGAAACCTGAAGAGGCACTGCTAATTGTGTTTTATGGGTATTCTATGGTGCCCAGGATTTTTTAATTTCAGGAAAATTCTACCTTTTATTGAATAGTATAATAGAATATACTAAAAATGGATCGCTAAAAAGTGGCAAGATAGAAAGTGGCAAACTTAGATGCCACCTCTGATACACACAAGTTCAATATGTAATAAAGTCTTCATCTGAAGGCAATAAAAGTAATGAAAAATTAAATGCTGGGAGAAAAATCAAAATTGCTCCAGATTCAAATATGCAGTCTGCAGCTACTATTAATTCAGAAGCTGCTGATCACGTGAAAGTGCTCCCCAGGGCGGCTTCACGTGTGCTGGTGGTCTCTGTGACCAGTTCCAGCTCCTTAGCATCTCTACCCAAAAAATAAAAATGGGTATAAATTATATTTTTGGAATCACCTTGGTAGTTATATTCCTCTTTAATTCAAATAATTCCATAAGTGAGGCGGTCATTACGTTTCGCTGAGCCTTTGGCCTTAACTCCTAGAATCCCTATATTTTAGTAACTTTGGAAAAACAAGTTATATAATTTCAGTGTCAAAGGTCGGAGGTCTTGTTTGTGTGACAGGAAAGCCTTACTCTTCTTGTGACTTTAACCATTTCCTACACTACAAAGTCGACAGTGGGTTTCTGCATGGAAAGCAAATGCCTCCTGGATCTCTCAGCAGAGAACTTCAGCTCCCACACAGAACAGCAGTGCCCTGGGGAGCAGCCACAGCCGCCAGGCTGCTCACTGCTCTCAGGTCTTTCTCCCTGGGCCCCGCCTCTTAGACTTTCAACAGGGAAATAGCCATGTGGAATGGTGATGCTTCCCAGCCTCCCCTGCGGCTGAGGACACCAGGTGATTAAATTTGGGTTCATGGAACATAAGCAGAAGATTCAGGAGAACCTTCCCAGGGCCATCACTTTCAAGCCCTTTCTCTTCACCTCTCCCCTCATCCTGCTTCTGGAGTGGACATGAGGGTGTGGGACAGACCCCCCGGATGCGGAGAAGTGAGCTTGGACACCCCCCAAGGGCTTAACGGGACCCAGTCAGCACAGCAGACCCGGGCCGCCCAGGTCCTCGGGACGCGTGGGTTTGCTCTCTTACCAAAGCTCACTTTCCTGGTGCTCGAGGAGCCTCATTCTAACGATCATGTCCCTCAGGAAATCAAGTCAAGAAATACCAC